GCTAGGTCCACTCATAACTTGAGTTTCAGAGCCAAATTTGTGAACAAACTGCTTTAAGCACCTTGATAAGAACATGGAAAATACTTTTACTCTTAACCAAAAAGCTAAGAACAGGCAGACTGTATTAATAACAGTGAAATTTGGGATAGAACTTAACCTACTTTCTTCAAGCCTCAGGGTCAGCATTTGCAAAATGACATAATAAGGGGTCATTTATCACAACTGTTATTATGTTGTCTTGCTCCCTAGAGACTGGTATTAAGATTTTCAGTGCCAAGCTGGGGAGACAGCTCAGTGGCATTGGTGCCTAACTGACATGTACAAGGTACCTGTTAGCTGGCTTAATAAACAGCTGGAAGCAGAGAAATGACTCCATAGAAGGGCAGGACTTCCGGGCCTCTGCAGGGTTTTCATCCTGTTTGAAAACTGTGTGTAGTGTCACATGCCTGGAATCCCAGCTCCTTGGTTCAAGGAAGATTTTTTGGTACCAGGGATCAAACATAGCATTATGATTCCAGGCAGGTGCATATGCCACTGAGCTATCTTTCTGGTCCTATTCCCAGCTACTTGGAAGGCTGAGGGAGGAGCATGCCAAGTTGAAGACCAGCCTGGGCAAATTACTCTGCCTCAAAATTGGAAAAAGGCATTCAGTGGTAGAGCACTGCCTAGCATGTGGGAGGTCCTGGGCTCCACCCAGCAGAAAGAGAAGGAAGTCAGAGAGAGAAGGGGGCGCGGGTGGGGGTGCTCCCCAGGGAGGCATCTATGCAGGGCCAGGCCCAAGCAGGAGGAGGCTGGACAGAAGATGTGCAACTCTGGTCCTATCAAATGGTGAGGACCAACTTGGGTTAGTTACCCTCTGAGGACAAAACACAAAACCCAGAGCTCAGCAAACACTTTAAAGACGCAGGAAGATGCCCCCAACTTTAAGGCTTACAACTTGATCTCCCCTATAGAAGAAAGCCTCTTAGCAGACCTGCACACACAGCTGCTGCGCCAGGCTTTGCAGTGGCAAGGAGTGATAGGTTACGATTCAAAGTTTCCCAGGCACCCTACCCCAAACACTCTTCCTCTTGGCTTCCCAGGCACCCTGCCCCCAAATTCTTGCTCCCTCAGCCCCACACAGGGCCAAGCCCAAAACCACAGAACAAGTCTGCCTGACTTTGACCTGGGCAAGCAACCACAGAAACTCTCCTTTGTTAGCATCAAAAGTCCCCCACAGACCAGGTAGCCCTGCTAAGACTAGCCCTCCCTCGGCTGTCCCAACCCACAAACACCCTCCCATAAAAAAACCCTTTAAAAGCCCTGTGCCTTGCCTTGTTTGCTGCTGTCTTGGTCAGCTAGACAGCGAGCCTGCTTGCTGCCTCTAGTAAATCTACTTGCGTCAGAATGCCCGGTCTGGTTGATTATGTGGGTTCGTACCTAACACAGAGTATGAGGGTTTTTCTCCCTATAATGTTCTTTTTTAGAGTGTGAAAGTTTTCTAGGGACCAAGGGGCTTGGGGTATGCAGAGTTTTCATTGCTAACACCAGACTGGGGCAAATCAGGATGGCTGCACCAACCTACTGGGTGTCTCACAACCATTAATGTATTTGCCTGAGTGGGAGATTTGATTTCCTATCCTTTTGCTTTTTCTCTTACATTTTCCTTTTTTTCTTGTTTGCTTTTTGCTTTCCATCTTTCCTTTTTTTTTTTTTTTTTCCTGTCTTTCTGAGACAGGGTCTTACCATGCAATTTAGGCTGCCTTGAGCTCAATTTGTAGCCCAGGCTGGCCTCAAACTTTCACTGATCCTTTTGCCTCAGCCTTCCAAGTGCTGGGTTATAGGCATGTGACACCACAGGAAGGTACCATACATTTAGACCAGAGATTAGATATGACAGTGAAGACAGGAAACCAGATGTGTTTGCACACACCTGTACTCCCAGCACTGGGGGCTAACCTAGGAGAACTAAAAGCTCAAGACCAGCCTGGGCTGCAGAGCAAGTTCAAGGCCAGGCTGAACCATGTAGTGAGACCCAGTCTCCAGGACACAAGTGAGTAGAAAGAGCTAGGGTACATCGTGTGAAGGGAGCACCTGACTAAGAGGAGCTTTTTTCAGTCCCCCAAAGCCTGGGAACATTGACTGGGTGGAGGAGGTGGCTCTTAGAGCTCTTAGCCTTCCTGGTTGTGTCCCCTAGGAGAAAGGAGACACTTTCCCTGGGAAAACATAGGGAGGTTTTTGTGAAGGCCTTGATCTTCCCAGCAGGGGCCAACAGTGCACAGGTAGAAGGAATTAAAATGTGCAGCCTAACTTGGCCTGCAGAACCAGAAAGGTGTAGGAGATACATCATTTGGGAAAGTGATGCATAAATTAATTCCTCTTTCTGTCTTCCTTCCTCTGCCTTTCTTTCCTTCCTACCTTTGTCTCCATCTTTTTTTTTTTTTTTTTCCGGTACTGGGAATTGAACCTAGGACCTTTGAACTAAGTTGCACCCCAGCACCCCTACTCTTGAGACAGGGTGCTGCTGGATTGTGTAAGTTGTCAGGCTGGGCTCAGACTTGCTATCTTCCTGTCTCAACCTCCCAGAGAGCTGGAATTGTGGGCACGTGCCACTGCACCTGGCTGTGTGTCTTTTTTCCTAGTTTTGTGCATAATTCCACACATCACTGTGGGCTGGTCAATATATAGAGCAAATGCTATAAGGCTAGTCAAGCCAGATAAAAGACTGAGATTCCGAGCCACCCTACCTTACTGGCACCCGTGTGCTCTGGGTCCTCAGTAACTGTTCTCTTTTTCAGGGGTTGCACACACTGTTCTCAGCAGCTACTGGTCCCAGCAGCTGGGGAAGAAAGATATGCGAGGTAGGTCTGCTCCTTTCCAATGTCTGTATTTGGCTAACTCTAGTGTCCCTCTAGTAGGTATCCTCCCCTTGATAATGTAGTAGAGTATTCTGTCCTGGGAAATAGCCCTTTGCCACTCTTAACCTTCACCCTAAGGAGCCTCATACTCGCCACACCCAGCAGACACAGGCTCAGCCAGGGCTCAGGCAGACCCTGTTGAGTGACTTCGCAAGCCGTGTCCCTTTGGCCAGGAGAAGCTAGTGAGAATTTGAGAATGGAAGGCCCCCCAGGCTCATTTACACAGCTGTCTATGTCACAGGATTGAGTCACAGGACAACTTGTAGACCAAGTCCCCTGGGTGAGCATGGTGCTCAGGGACAGAGAAGAGAGACTGGCCCACAGAGGCGGCACTGCTCTGTGCGGGCAGCCTCCTGGGGCTTGGCTAGAGGTGACAGGGTGGCTGCTCCTCTCACTGAACTCCTGGAGATCAAGGCCATCCCACCTGTCTGACGTGTGTGGTTGCTCTAGTACAGAGGTAACTGAAAAAGAAAACACTTACATTTTATAAATTGTCTATAGTGAAAGACACACTGGCATCCCCCCCTCAGAGGACTGCCCTCACCTGAGAGCACTCATCCCTTGTTCCTTCTGGAGCTGCCAGAAGGCATTATCCTGTCTCCAGGAGGTGTGATCAAAACTCTGGTGCCAAGTTGCCAAGTGCCCTCCAACAAAGGCAGGCTGGCAGAGACGTTGCATACCTCCCTGCTCCCTGGCCTGGCACCATGCACCTCCAGGCTCCTCCCTGGGTCAGAATGACCAGGAAACGGGAGCATGTTGAATCAGTGCAGGACGTCAGGGCAGCCCCAGTAGTGCATAAAGACACTCGTGAAGGAGGACTTCAGAAGTGCTCCCGCAAGTGGCAGGGCCGATAGGGGGAATGTGTTCTGTGCAAGGGCAGGGTTGGAGGGGATTCCTAACGTGTCTTACAGTAATAAAAGTGACTTAAACGCACTATCTTTTAAGTCAATCCCTCTTGTATTTAGAGCTGAGAAGATGAGGCCTGAGGAGGGCAGCAGCATCCCTCCTCCTCCCCTTGGCTTTCTCCTGGAGGAGGCTGTGGGCAAGATGTAGCTATGATGAGGAAGAGGCTGAGGAAGGGAAGGGGTGAGGCTGTATGTTCTGTAGATCAGATCGAATTTGTGGCCCTGTGGGCAGAGGAAGAAATTAATTAATAATTTATTTATTTATTTATTGGTACTGGGGATCAAACTCCAGGCATGCGCTTATGCCACTGAACTGTCTTCCCACTCAGAAACTTATTCTTTAGGGTGACCTGGATGTTGGGGCTGAAATCCCAGCACTGGGAGGCTGTGGCAGGAGAACCACTGTGAGTTCCAGGCCAGCCTGAGATACATAATTCAAATAAGCTGGGACTATACAGTGAAACCCTGTCTCAAAAAACTAGAAGGAAGAAAGAGAGGGAGGGAGAAAGAGACCTGGGAGGACGACGGAGCTGGAGGTGAAAGGCCTGCTCTATGCCGTGGGCCTCCCAGAAGGCTCGAGTGCTCTCACTTTGGGATTTCTTTGTCGTTGTCAGCATTTCAGTGTTCCCTCCGAGGAGGAGAGCTGGGCATTTCCCTGCGAACAGACAGCCGTGTGGACATCAAGAGCAATGTCACTGTGGTCGTGGAAGGCACACTGACCATCTAGGTGAGGTGTGACTTTACCGAAGCTGAAACTGTTTCCCTTACTGTTGCACTCATGTATCACAGCTAAAAATTAAGGCAACCCAGAACATTAGCCCAATGTGAGGATATTTGCGATAGTAAAATTAAATGCTAAAATGAATATAATCTTGGTCTCTTTCTCATATGTGGCCTTAAAATGCTCACTTGAGTGGTGGTGCTCATATGTTATTCTTGTACTCTGGGAGGCTGAGGCAGGAGGGTCACAGCCAGCATCCTGAGTGGGCAAATTAGCAATTCACCAAGGTATCATCTCAAAAAATATTTAAAAAAAAAAGGTGGGGAATACCAAGGCCCAAAGTTCAATCCCTAGAGGGAGGTAGGGAGGGGTGGTTTTTTTTTTTTTTTTTTTTTTCAGAACTGGGGATTGAACTCAGGCCCTTGCGCTTGCCAGGGAAGCGCTTATTCCACTGAGCCATCTCCTCGGCCCTTTGGGTTTTGTTTTTAATTTTTTTTTTTCCTGTATTTTAGGAAAGGATCTACAGGGTGTTCGGGGTCTCACTACTAGATCAGACTCAGTGATTCTCCTGTTCACACCCTCCCAGGTGCTGGGATTACAGGCCTGCGCCACCACACCCAGTCTCAATCACCATTTCTAGGTGCCCCTGGGGAAGGGCCAGCACGGCAGGCCCTGGGATCGAACCCCTGGCCCCTGCACCTGCTTGCAGGTGCTTTAATCCGGTGAGCTATTGTTTTTAATTTTAAAGAAATAAAAATAAAATTTCAAAACAAGGTAATAGGAGGGTAATAATGGCTAATAAACTTTGAAATAGTGACTCAGAGTATAAGATATCAGCATTTAATTGTCCAAACAATATTAGCACAAACCTCTTACCACAATAAAATGAATTTTATCATAGCTTGAAATTCAAGGGCCAGCCAAATAGCTCAGCAGATTAAAGCACCTGCAAGCAGGTGCAGGGATGGGGGAGGGGGTTCAATCCCCTGGCCTCCAGTGCTGGTTCTGCCCACAGGGTGTGCTGAGATGGCAGTTGAGACTGGGCAAGGTGGCGTGCACCTGTGATCCCAAGTGGATCACTATGAGTCCGATCTAGTAGTGAGAACCTGAACACCCTGTAGATCTTTCCCTAAAATTAAAAAAATTCCATTAAATATAAAATATTGAATACCTACTGATGACTCTGGGATGGGGTCAATTTTGAGTATGTTAAGAGTGTTTTTTCGCTTGGTAATACAGGACAAAAATAAGTACAACACATCAAATACAGGATGATAGTTCGTGTAACTAACAGAGATATCATTTATCAGATTGCTTATGCCCGTACTGAAGGGGATATGATAGTCTCTGCGGCATATGCACATGAACTACCAAAATGCTGTGTGAAAGTTGGCCTAACAAATTATGCTGCAGTGTATTGTCCTGGCCTGCTGCTGGCCTGCAGGCTTCTCAGTAGGTTTGGCATGGATAAGATCTATGAAGGCCAGGTGGAGGGGACTGGAGATGAATACAATGTGGAAAGCATGGCTGGCAAACCTGGTGCCTTCGCCTGCTACTTGGATGCAGGCCTTGCCGGAACTACAACTGGCAGTAAAGTTTTTGCAGCCCTAAACGGTGCTGTGGATGGAGGCCTGTCTATCCCTCACAGCACCAGACGATTCCCTGGTTATGATTCTGAAAGCAAGGACTTCAGTGCAGAAGTACATCGGAAGCACATCATGGGGCAGAATGTTGCAGACTATATGTGTTACCTAATGGAAGATGAAGATGCTTACAAGAAATAGTTCTCTCAGTACAAAAAAAAGAGGTGGAACCGTCCCAAAATGTCCCTTGCCCAGAAGAAAGATTGAGTAGCTCAAAAGAAGGCAAGCTTCCTTAGAGCTCAGGAGCAGGCTGCTGAGAGTTAAATCAAATTTCTATGAAGATTTTTCAGATAAAGACCAATAAACTTATTCATCAAAAAAAGTGTTTTTTTGTTTTTTGTTGGGTTTGTGTGTGTGTGTGTGTGTGTGTGTGTCCATCTCATCCTTGGGGCAGGGCTGGCACAGCATGTGGTGCCGGAGATCCAACCACAGTCCCTGCAGCTGCCTAAGCTGGCACTTTAGACCACTGAGCTATCTTGCCAGCCTCCATATAGGAGTGTGTTAAGATGATCTCAACTAATGCCAATTCTCCATCTTTTCAAAACTGCAAACTAATCAAATATTTCTGTGGTGTCCCAAATTGTTCACTTTAATTGGTACATGTGTCCTATTTTTAGAATGTCTGTCTATCTTTGGACATGAGGGATTGAACCTAGCTAGGGCTTTTGCACTGAGCCTTCTATCAGCCTTTATTCTGAGACAGGGTTTTGTTACATTGCCCCTCCAGGTCTCTGCCTTGTGGCCCTCCTGCCTCAGCCTCCCAGCGTGCTGCAGTTGCAGACATGTGCCACTAGGTCTCAATGCTTTGCACAAATGGGGTTTGGACTGGCTTTTCCATCCTCAAACCCCGCCCAATAATGGGGTTGTAGGTGTATGTGACCCCACCCGCTTCCCTAGGTTCCTTCCAAGAAAGTTGCCAGTGGTAGCATGTGAGTTAACTTTTCATCCTATATTTTCAAACCATGTATTCATGTTTGTTTGTTTTCTCACTGTGGAACCCAGGCTGACCTTGAACTCTGGCACTCCTCCTGCTCTCCTTCCCCCCCATGTTTCATGGGCAGTTGCTCGGCAGAGTCAGAGCAGCCAGACGTGCTCCTGCGTTTACCCAGCAGAGCATGCTGGGCAAACAGAGAAGGGAGCAGCAGCTCATGCAGCAGGGCACAGAGCTTCAGGCGGGCCTGACGAGTCCTGCTGCCCTAGGCACACAGGGTGGGAGGGTTATAAACTCCAGGAGCAGTGCAGCCTTCGCCTGCCTCTGCTGCCTGCCTGGTCAGGAGAGGAGGGAGAGCTTCAGGCGCACCTAGCTCCAGCTTGACGTTGCCCTGGGTTGAAGGCGGTTAGCATCCCTTGTTGTATCAGCCTAGACAAGTGCACGCCAAAGTGTGGTCATCTGCAACATCACAGTGGCTTAACCTAACAACTAGTCTAGGTGTGAAGGCTGAGGCAGGGGGTCACTACAAGCTCAAGGCCAGCCTGGACTACATAACAAAATCATGCCTTAGAAAACCAAAAAGAAAACAGGTCTATCCATTCCGCTGTCTAGCGTGGATCGGAAGAGCTCTATGCTCCAGGGTCACACAGGGACCTGGAGGCTATTCTTGCTACCACCCTGACACGCAGTCTCCATGGTTGCTGTGGCTAGGGGAAGAGGGACAGGAAAGCGTGCTGTGCTGAGACTCAAGAGACAGTGTCTGTTTGGTTTTGTTTTCTAAGCCAGGGTCTAGCTAAGTAGCCCAGGCTGGCCTCAAAACTCATGATGAGCATCCTGCCTCAGCCTCCCGAGTGCTGGGATTACAGGTGTGCACCCTTCTCCCATGTGGACAGTGTCAGTTCTGCTCACAGACTGTTGGCCAGGCTGGTCCACAGCCACCTCCAACAGCAGGCCACTCACATGCACAGGAGGACGGCATATTCTTTTTTTTTCTTTTGTCAGAGCATCTCTTTATTAGCGGATTTTCTTATGCTCCTTAGCTAGCTGGGCACTTGACAACGCTGATGTTGATGTCATGAGGGTGCCAGCTGTCCACGTTGCAGCCCACAGATGAGGTGGTCCCCAGGATTTGCTTAATGGTTCTGGAAAGTTCTCTGGTTAAAGACCAGTGCCATATCTGTCAGCAGTGTTGACCGTCTCATCAAATGTGGTATTTCCACTGTGTTTAATGTTTTTCTGCTTCTTTCTGTCTCTTGGTGGCTCCTTGAGGGCTTTGATGATCAGGGCAGAGGCAGAAGGCACCACCTCAATCTGAGCCTGTGTGTTCTTTTTTTAAATTTTATTTATTCATTTATTTAATTTGTGTGTGTGTGTGTGTGTGTGTGGCCAGCTCAGCCCACCAGGGGGCAGTGCTGGCTGGCATGTGGTGCTGGGGGATTGAAGTGCGGTCCCTGTGCTTTGCTAAGCTTGTTCTAAGTAGGTGCTTTAGACCACTGAGCCATCTCACCAGCCTAGCCTGTCTGTTCTGAATGGTCAGTTTCACTGTAATCTGCAGAACCTTCCAGTCACCAGTTGCCTTGGTGATGTCATCCTCCACTTTCTTTGGAGACAGACCCAAAGGATCGATCTTGGGGGGCCAGGGCATGAGTGGCACCAACTTTACCATCAGTGCACCTCAGGTGCACAACTTTGATCTTGTTGGGATCAAACTTGGGTGGCATGCTGAAGGTGGCTGGTTTCAGGTGAACCCGGATTCGGGATGACCAAAGGAAGTTGCACCTTAGCCTCTTCCTAGCCGAAGGCCAAAAGCGAGAGTGTATTCTTTGCATGGTTGACTGACACAGCTGGGAGGGGTGTTTGGGTCCACTGGGGTGGCAGCATTCCTTAGGTAAATTCATCAGAGGCCAGGGGTTTAGGGCGCTGGGCCAGAAAACTGTTAGGTAAACGCACCAAGGGAGAATCCATCTCTGAAGCTTAAACCCACATTAGCAAATGCATAGACTAATGTATAAAGCCAGAATACTGATCTGTCACTTTACAAATAATAAATGTAAACATGTCTGTTGACTTTTTTTGTTATTGTTGTTGTTAGATGAGGAAGAATTTATTAAAGCAAGCTTCTGTGTGGGAGGGCCAGAAGGGGCCAGAAAGGGCTGCCCTATTACCCTATTTTCTGCTGCTATAACAGGGTACCATAGAAGGTGATTTGTTTTAATCAATTTTTTTTTTTTTTTTTCGGAACTGGGGATTGAACTCAGGCCCTTGTGCTTGCCAGGGAAGTGCTTATTCTACTGAGCTATCTTAGGGGCCGGAGGTGATTTGTTAAAAACAGAAGTTGATTCAGGTTCCAGTCCTGAGGTTAGGAAGTACAGTGTCACGGTGGTGACTGCTAGCAAGCGTGGTGGCACTCGCCTGCACTCCCTGCACTCCAGGCTGAAGCAGGAGGTTCACCATGAGTCCAAGGCCAGCTGGGCTACACAGTGAGTTCACAGCTGGCCTAGAACACAGAGCAGGACTCTGACTTCACCAAGATGATGGCATCTGGTGAGCATCCTGCT